GTAATATTGCGTTGCCATGGTCCGTGGTGTTCCACTGTTCTTGAACCAGTCAGGATCTGCATTCATCAATCTGTGTCTTGTACAAAACTGGGAAACTGTATCCACTTCTCTTGTGAAAACGTGTTGTTGTCAGGCTGAACAAGGTTTAATGTTGAAGCTTGAATAAAGTATCAAATTTGCAGGTATTGTGTTTCAAGGCGCGTATAACGGCCAAAGTACAACATGAATAAGTTCATGGAACATTGACACACACACACACACACACACACACACACACACACACACACACACACACACACACACACACACACACACACACACACACACACACACACACACACACACACACACACACACACACACACACACACAGAGAGGGACGGGACAGGACATCAGTTTAACAAAGTTTATGTTTGGACAGAGATTTTAATTCTGATGAACGAGGCGCAAGGGGGTAAAGCGTTCGCTCGTCACGCTGAAGACCCGCTGTCGATCCCCACACGGGTACAATGTGTGAAACCCATTTCTGGTGACCCCCGCCCTGATATTGTTGAAATATTGCAAAAAGCGGCGTAAAACCATACTCAATCAAGCAGTCAGTCTGATGAACAGAAAGCACTATTCATGCGCAAGACACTGGCGTTTTTATCAAACTGATTATTAAATGTGAGTGTATGCAACACAGTCATGATATGTACAGTCGCCCAAGGGAACAATATGAATCACGAATGAGTGCTGTCAAAGTTATAGTGATAGTGCTTACCCGTGAAGATCCGACTAACGGAATCTGGTTCGCTGACTTGGTTGACTCGTGTCACCGTATCCCAATTGCGTAGAACGATGCTCATGATGTTGATCACTCGATTGTTTGGTCAGATTCTATTATTTACAGACCGCCGCTATAAAGCGGCAAAATTGCTGCAAAGAGTGCGGCGTAAAACTAAACTCACTCACTTACTTCATTTCCTTGTTACACCAGGGCGGTAATGTTCATTGAAATCATTTAAGATTTCAACAGCAGGGATATATTGTTTCACTTGTAATTTTTTTAATTGTCTCTTTGCTACTCACGTATTTCTATAAACCGTTACTTGCCAAATCCCAAATGAAATCTAACTGTCATGCAGTCACGAATCAGGTGTCAAATTGTAAATTCATGATGCATGCAAGAAAGGTTTGCCTTTGAAAACCTTTGACAAATTTCCCATGATAAATGCAATTCAACGTATCTATATTATTATCTAATAGCAATTTGCTTCAAAACAATGGATAAACTCGGAAACCAAACCCATCCGGCTACGCAATGTCTAATATCCATGATGAATTGGTCTACTTCTCACATTTCATAACGTATATATATTGGTTGGAGTGTTGAGATTAATCCTAGCTGGAAAAGACATTTGTTTGATGTATCTGGCTGGTAATATACCAGGAGATAGACTAAGGCTCGTTAATGATTTTAACTAGAACGTATTACAAGTGTCCAAATGTATATATTTGGTAGTCTGATTAGATATGAAGGAAACAAATACAGTGATGCATGGTTGCCAAATGAAACGATCGGAATGGTGATGGTTGATGTCAAACTCTATACTTGTTTGACGTAATTATTTCTAAATCCATGCTTGTTTATTCTTACCCAAACCGCGATGGCTGAGTGGGTTAGATGGCTGACTTTATGTGCTGGCGATTAAGTGCCTGCCTCAGTGCCTGAGAGTGTGGGTTCGAATCCTGGGTGGGACTCAATCCAACAAAAGTACAACAATATGTACTTTACAGAGAAACTGTAATCCAAGATTACGTTTTACCCTCGTTTAAATGGCAGTGTATGTTCCTAGGTAGCTGGAGCTACGTAATGAACTCGGATGTACATATACACTGAACCTCGGGTATCCGGAATCATGTACAAACTGCGAAGAATATCTTCAGTATTGTATACTATAAAACCGAATTTATCCGAAATTGTACCCAAACGACATCTATCCGGACTTATGATCAAGCTTCACCAAATGTATGGAAGTTAGCAGATTACAATTTCTGCTCGGCGGATAGGTTCCCTGTCCTTTGCCAATCACACATCAACGCCAGTTAACTGTTAGCTTACATTGTTTAGCCTCCATCTTTGTTGTCTTATTATTTTTGTTGTTCTTACATGTACATATATACGCTCTCTGCCTAATAGCATCCATTCACCTGATGAAGGAGTAAGAATATACTCCTAAACCTTGTGATCCTCATAAAAAAGAAGTTGACAACCATAAAACTCTCCTCCTTAAGGGAAAATATAACTGATTAATCGGGAAATATACTCACATCCAAAAGAAACTTGACCCCTATTTTTTCGCTCTAAAGGAAATGTCTCGAGTTCTCCCGTGTTCATACAGACTTGAAATATACAGCGGGAACGCAACATTTCCAAATCATGGTTCACAGGCACGGTTCTTATAAAATCGGTTTTCTCGCAGATGCACGAACCGCACGTGCAATGTTTGGTATAAAATGCCTCCATATAAACCGCTGTCATCAGTGTCATTGGAAAACCACAGCGAGAATGCCGAGACTGACAGCAGAACAGCGTGAACGAGCCATCGGTATGATCCATATGGTGGCTTCTCGTGGTCACGTTGCGAGAACGATCGGTTGCTCTACCACGGCTATTTCCAACCTCATCCAGCGGTTCCAACAGACCGGTCAGATCCGTGAGACCCCGCATCACAACGGCACAGGAAGACCGGTACATTCGTAATCTCCACCTACGTAACCGCTTCCTGACGACAACGTCAACGGCAACAACAGCATTGGGTCGCCGACTCAGTCGACAGACAGTGGCCAGACGTCTCCGTGCCTACGGCATTAGGAACTACAGACCGTACAGAGGAACTTTCCTGACACTTAGACATGGGCAGCAGAGAATACTGTGGGCACGTCAGGTACAACGCTGGCAGAGACGTGACTGGCAAAAGGTACTCTTTTCTGACGAGAGCAGGTTCTCTCTGTTCTATGATGATGGAAGGGCATGAGTTTACCCGGGAGTGGGCGAACGAATGGCTCATTGTTGCATTCAGAACAACGGAGCCTTTCGGCGGAGAGAGAGTGTAATGATCTGTGGAGGCATTATTGGAGACCTGATCACTAGACTTGTTGTGTTTGACGAGACACTGACTGGTCAACGCTACATCGACCACGTTTTGAGGCCGGTAGTTCTCCCATTCGTGTAGCAACAGCAGCGAGGGACTCCTCCTCCAACATGACAACGCCAGGTCCCACGTTGCTCGAGATGTGCAGGACTTTCTTAATCGCAACAACGTCAACGTTGTACCCTGACCTCCAAGATCTCCTGTTATGTCACCGAACGAGCACCTCTGGAACCACCCCGATCGCCGTATCAGACAACGACAACTACCTTCACAAACACGTCGGCAGTTGATCCAAGCGCTGAGGGAGGAGTTACATGTTTACATGCATCCGGGCCTAAGAGGACACACCCGTTATTGACAATGCCTTTTTGGCCACTTTGAAAGTCTATGAAAGTGTCAAGTCTTTATCTTTTGTCTGTGTAAATTTCAAATTTCACCCCTTCTGTAAATGGCACGTCAATACATCATTTAGTGTTCAATAAATCTTGATTATATTTTGTGATGTGGTTATCAATAGATTTATCTTCATATTACTAGGTTCTAGTGACATGGGACTAAAATTCTGCACACAGTCAGTACTTTGTCTGGTATCAAGTTTCTTTTGGACGTGCTATTATACAAACTAAACTTCAGTCCTTTTAATTATATGCAAAAAAAACACGAATCAGTACGGATATGTATGCAAACTTTATCTTTCATATTAGGAACTGTACAGAACCTAAGCCTAATTAATCTGGAACCATCCACAAACTAACCACAATCAATCTAAAACTACATAAAGACGAAACCAAATCAATCCGAAATAATCATACAAACATGATCTCATCTATCAGGAACTACATACAAACTGAACCTTATTAATCCGAAACTATGTACTGACTTAACCTCTTTTATCCGTAAAGACACTACATCTGTAGCTGTAGGTAATGTAGGTCCTATCTGTTCACCCAATGTGGGTCTACAGACATCTAGACAGCTCAGGTGGTGGTGGAAGGGCCTACCGACACCTGGACAGCTCAGGTGGTGGTGGAGGAATGGCTTACAGACACCTGGACAGCTCAGGTGGTGATGGAAGAGCTTACCGACACCCGGACAGCTCAGGTGGTGGAGGAGGAAGGGCTTACAGACACCTGGACAGCTGAGGTGGTGGTGGAAGAGCTTACCGACACTTGGACAGCTCAGGTGGTGGTGGAAGAGCTTACCGACACCTGGACAGCTCAGGTGGTGGAGGAGGAAGGGCTTACAGACACCTGGACAGCTCAGGTGGTGGTGGAAGGGCTTACCGACACCTGGACAGCTCAGGTGAGGGTGAACAGGGTCTATAGACACCTGAACAGCTCAGGTTGTGGTGGAAGGGCCTACAGACACCTGGACAGCTGAGGTGGTGGTTGAAGGGTCTACGGACAACTGGACATCTCAGGTGGTTTCGAAAGGGTGTACAGACACCTGGACAGCTCAGGTGGTGGAGGAAGGGTCTGGACATCTCAGGTGAACAATGAAAATGATCATTCCAACACGCAGCCGCCAGTCTCTGGAATAACTTGCCCACTCACATCAAGAATTGTGAATCTTTGGACACATTTAAATCGTCTCTAAAACCCAACTTTTTTCGTCGTGCCTATTACTAGACTTTCTATGTTAAGTTGTCTCTCTGTAAATAGTTTTAACTTTTTATTTTCCTATAGTATTGAAGCGCCATGAGCGGGTATTAGTACCTGGATGTAGCGCTATATAAATACCCACATTATTATTATTATTTATTAATTCGAAAGGGTGTAGATACACCTTGAAAGCTCAGGTGGTAGTGGAAGGGTCTACAGACACCTGGCCAGCTCAGGTGGTAGTGGAAGGGCCTACAGACACATGTACAGCTCAGGTGGTAGTGGAAGGGTCTACAGACACCTGGCCAGCTCAGGTGGTGGTGGAAGGGCCTACAGACACCTGACCAGCTCAGGTGGTAGTGGAAGGGTCTACGGACACCTGGCCAGCTCAGGTGGTAGTGGAAGGGCCTACAGACACCTGACCAGCTCAGGTGGTAGTGGAAGGGCCTACAGACACCTGGACACTTCAGGTGGTAGTGGAAGGGCATACAGACACATGGACAGCTCAGGTGGTGGTGGAAGGGCCTACAGACACCTGGACATGTCGGTGGTGGTGGAAGGGTCTACAGACACCTGGCTAGCTCAGGTGGTAGTGGAAGGGTCTACGGACACCTGGCCAGCTCAGGTGGTGGTGGAAGGGCCTACAGACACCTGACCAGCTCAGGTGGTAGTGGAAGGGTCTACGGACACCTGGCCAGCTCAGGTGGTGGTGGAAGGGCCTACAGACACCTGACCAGCTCAGGTGGTAGTGGAAGGGTCTACGGACACCTGGCCAGCTCAGGTGGTGGTGGAAGGGGCCTATAGACACCTGACCAGCTCAGGTGGTAGTGGAAGGGCCTACAGACACCTGGACACTTCAGGTGGTAGTGGAAGGGCATACAGACACATGGACAGCTCAGGTGGTGGTGGAAGGGCCTACAGACACCTGGACATGTCGGTGGTGGTGGAAGGGTCTACAGACACCTGGCGGCTAGCTCAGGTGGTAGTGGAAGGGTCTACGGACACCTGGCCAGCTCAGGTGGTGGTGGAAGGGCCTACAGACACCTGACCAGCTCAGGTGGTAGTGGAAGGGTCTACGGACACCTGGCCAGCTCAGGTGGTGGTGGAAGGGCCTACAGACACCTGACCAGCTCAGGTGGTAGTGGAAGGGTCTACGGACACCTGGCCAGCTCAGGTGGTGGTGGAAGGGCCTATAGACACCTGACCAGCTCAGGTGGTAGTGGAAGGGCCTACAGACACCTGGACACTTCAGGTGGTGGTGGAAGGGCATACAGACACATGGACAGCTCAGGTGGTGGTGGAAGGGCCTACAGACACCTGGACATGTCGGGTGGTGGTGGAAGGGTCTACAGACACCTGGACAGCTCAGGTGGTAGTGGAAGGGTCTACAGACACCTGGCCAGCTCAGGTGGTGGTGGAAGGGCCTACAGACACCTGACCAGCTCAGGTGGTAGTGGAAGGGCCTACAGACACCTGGACACTTCAGATGGTAGTGGAAGGGCATACAGACACCTGGCCAGCTCAGGTGGTAGTGGAAGGGTCTACGGACAACTGGACATGTCGGGTGGTTTCAAAAGGGTGCACAGACACCTGGACACACACACATGCAAACCCACAAAAACACACACACATGCAAATCCACACAAACGCCCCCACGCACACATGCACATGCACACCATCCACCACTGTCACTCTTCATCAGATAAAATGTCTGAGTAACACCAGGGTTTACCTTCACACACCCTGTTCATAATATATAGTGAAAGTTATGGTCTGTCTCACTATCTATTATACAGATGCATCTACGCAATACCCAACTCTGTCGTTTATGTGTATCTCCCGCGGACTGATACCGTTTATTAACTGACATATAATGATTTATCTGGCACGTAAAATATTAAGACATCGCTTTTACATCTGCATTGAAGAACAGCATGTGATACAAAGGTCCATGGTGAGATGGTTTTACTTTCAGGTCATCCATCAGGAGTAAGCTGTGAGTCTTGCTCACTGATAGCAGGATCAAGACATCCATTGTATAGGAGACTATATCATCTTACCTTGTCAAACGGAGATCTGGTTTCCACATTGGTAAACGGGTCTTGGTTTATCGCTGGAACTTCCTTCTGGCAGATGCTTCAGTTCAATAAGACTCCGAGGTTATTTCCTTAATCTTACAATTCAAAAGTAATCTGAATAAATGATACGGCAACTTATCGCAGACATATTTATTTACGGATGCTACGATTGTGGAAACAGATGACGGGCTGACAGTTTAACACCTAGCTGCGGGTACAGCAACGTGCAGTAAACTTGTACAAAGTACTGTTACTATGTGTCTCAGTCCACCCAGCTGCGAGTGGGTACCTCGTAAGGATGGGAAGGCCACATTAACTCGGTGCACCTAGTGGCTGCAAGAGTTGTATGGCCCAGGGAGTTTAGATTGATAATACGAAGTGCCACTTTCTAAATGGCACTGTGTATTTCAATACGAAGTGCCATTGATCAAGGGAAACACAAAGCGCCTGTGAGCAGTCTAGGTGGAACTCGGCGCTATATAAATAGATTATAATAATACAAGTGGATAACCAGTATAAATGTTGAAGACATTTTCATCTACAACACTGTTTACTGTAACCACGACACAAATTACGGATCACTAATTCAATCATATTTATGCCATGTTGCCTGTTTCAAAGTTAAATCATCACAATGTTTCACCAGTTGAAACAAAACGATGTTACAAAATCAAACATCATGAGAACTGTCACACAAATCCTGACCAGCTATTACAAAATCACGTCAAAAATAATTTCAGGAAGCATTCGATCAAAAACATCGAATACAGTCACATCCAAACATGATTTGTCCCTGAAGGTCGCTTGTCGCATGACAGCGGTCCATGCATGCGTGATGTTCAAACCGCCAGAAGGCAACAGTCAGCAATCTCCTCAAATTATCCATTTTTCTGTTGGCGTCAAAACTCTTTACTGGTTATCTAATTGTTTAAAATATGACGATCGATCTTATAATACCTCCAAGTCCAGTTCTATTTAAACGACACCTGATTTTTAATCAAAAGTAACGGTGACACTGCCTGCGATTTACTGTTGTGAAATATCTTGCAAAGTTCCACAAGTGATAGCACGACTCGTTTAAATTTAGTGATTCACCTTAAGGACTACGAATTATTTCTGAAACGGCGGGCTTGACCAATAAAGAAGTTGATATCTAAACCATTCCTGGCCCATGTCCATCACCTCCAAACGCCTTTTAAAGGATACATTGTGAACTTGCATCTAGGGTATACATCAATACAAGTGACTGAACCATTATTGCTGTGATTACCTCCACACAGTCTCAAATGTGCGACAGTACATCGTTTAATGGACCTTTTATTGGACCTTATAATGGAACTTATATTTCAGCGAATGAATGTTTAATGGAATTGACAGGGTTATTGGTTTTGCTTTTCATTACACATAACGCACCTTATATCACAATATGTTAGTAGCTTCAGTCTACATGTTTCTGAATGGAGAATACTTTTGATGGAAGCCACAATTCGAATTTTCGTAAATAGTTGCAAAACTACAAATGCGTAGTAAAGCTAGGCTCGTTGAAAAAAAATATCATTTATATAAACGATTATAAGAACGATAAAATGACATTTGCTAGATATTGCTCGAATTGAAATCACAATTTATTAGTAGTCATCAATACTCAGGGACATTGTATGCAGTTTTAAGATTAATATTACTCGTCCCCGGCAGATCGACATTACTCAGGACAAGAGACAGAGAGTTCTTATAGATGAATTTTTATCACAGTTTCTCCATTTCTATGTTTACATGTTTTTACACTGACAGTTCTTGCAATTTTAAGGTTAACTCTAATTTTGCCCGAGGAAATATTGATGAAATATTTCTTCTAAGTGAATTAGTATTAAGGGTTGTTCATTATTAATGGTAGATCACAGCTGGTGAACATGAGCTTCCTTCACAGACTTCTACAGTCCGTTATCATAATGGCCTCAAAATGTCATTGATTTAAAGATGTCTTGTGGGCAAAAAGTACTAACTCTTTGCACAATCGCTTTGTTGATTTAAAACATGATTTTAAACATGAATGGACGTTCACTATAACCACTGCAGCACACATGGTATCATATGAAGAGCATCCTATGATTGCGCTCCGAGAAATCTAGTACAGACAATGGCATGACGCAAAATCATAACCCGATAGTTGACACACGATAAAACTCATTTTTCTACACTTGTGGTGGGCGCAATCTGTTGTTAACAAACACGCTTACGTTACAAGAATCCATTTGTGTAATGGAAACTGTCTATTTGTTATTCTACCATGAATCAAGGAAATACTTAGGAGATAAATGTACTGTGTGTTGAAATTAGATGAATGTTAGACCGAATTGATAGTCTCTAAATTTAATTTGAAGCCGAACGCGTAGCGTGAGGTTTCAAATGATTAATTTAGAGATTATCAATTCGGTCTAACATTCATCTAATTTCAACACACAGTATGTTTATCTCCATTCTACCATAACCGATTTAACATCGAACTTCCTCGTCCTGCGGAAGACACGGCGTAATCCGGCATGGGACGAGAAGGCGAATTGAACTCGTCTGTGAAGGGAGTGGTAGGTGCCGTTCGTATTTTTGTTAACATTGCAGCGTAAAAAATATTCTGTCCAAAGAAAACAAACTACTGTTTATTCAATACAATAATGTAACACCTAAGAGCTTGGTTTTTATAATCATAACTCCACACGACCGAAACCAGCCTATTGTTTTGTGTACCGTGTTACTGTACACACAACCACCCAACCACCCCCACCCCACCCCCGGCCACACTATAATGGAATCGTCTGACCTACTTATTTTCTTGGAAGTAGACAGTTACGCAACAGTTTGAAATGGCGGACGAGCCAGTTTTTACATTTTGCGAAAGGTTGAAATTCGAAGTGACAGTGTGGAAAATACTTGACTGACTGTCGAACCTGAACCCTGCAGAATCGAAGAATACATCCTTTTCTGATCGACCTATGACCTGTAACTCATCAAAGACTGTTGACTTTTATGACCGGCGAGTGTCGATCATGATTTCACGTACCTGCCTCCACCCCGACATGCGACAAAAGAGTGACAGTGCTGCTTTGTGTACATGCGACTAACTTGGGATTCCTTGGAACATTGTTCTCATCATTTGGGACTGGATTGTGGCCAAGCTTTTCAAAGTGTACGAACATAGCAGTGACAGCCTTGCGGGGAAGGTGGCAGAGAGCGGAATTCTCGTGGTTCAATTTTGACATTTTGAACGATGCAACGGGACATGATGGAGTATGAGTGGCCTAAATTTTGTGTTTCGCCTGACCGTTATCTTGCGAATTTCTCATTCTAAACGGAAACAAATGTACCATTTACCAGGTAGGTAAATGTTTACGAACGTTTTGCCGCACACATAGGGATAGATAGGGATGTATTTTTAAGTTTTTACAAGGTTTTCTGATTTATATGTTAGATATTGTTTGTTTATGTTTGGGGCTGTGTATTGTAATTGAGTTTGAATATTTCTATAATAGAAGGTAATAATTATGATAGTGAGTTTCCCTAATAATTGTGGAGGAGAAATCGTATAATTGTATTTTTCGAGTTTTAATAAATGTTTCATCAGCATTTCCATCACGTCAATCTGTTGTGTTGATATTAGTCATGTTGGTGGCCAAGCTGAAGTAGTGCGGCAGTGTTGTATATGTGCGCAGTGATTCTGATTGGTTGTTCAGAAAAATCAGACGGCATCAATTGTGGATTGACGCTCATCTGATTGTAAGGCCGCTTCACCGCGCAGTAACAAATCTTATTGTGAGAACGACTTCCGTTTGACCACAATGATGGCGGATCATAACAACAACTCCATGGATTTTGACGCTGACTTTCGAATTTTCCACATAGGCAATTGGAAATTTTTGGATTAAAAATGCGTTTGATTTCATTGCGCTTCAATGCGCACGTATAGAACACTGCCGCACTACTTCAGCTTGACCACCAACATGACTAATATCAACACAACAGACGTGATGGAAATGCTGATAAAACATTTAAGCTCGAAAAATACAATTATATGATTTCCCCCCCACAATTATGAGGGAACCTCACTATCATATTACCTTCTATTATAAAAATATTCAAACTCAATTACAATACACAACCCCAAACATAAACAAAACAATATCTAACATATAAATCAGAAAGCCTTGTAAAAATACATCCCTATCTATACAAAATATGCAGCAAAACATTAGTAAACATTTACCTACCTGGTAAATGGTATATTTAATTCCGTTTAGAATGGGAAATTTGCAAGATAGATCTAACGGTCTGGCGAAACACCACATTTATGCCGCTCATAGTCATACTCCATCATATCCCGTTGCATCGTTCACAAAATAATTCTGCTCTCTGCCAGCACTGTTGTCACTGTTATGTTCATCTACTTTGTAAAACGCTTGGACACAGTCCAGTCCCAAACGATGAAAACAAAGTTCCAAGGAATCACAAGTTAGTCGCATGTACACTAAGCAGCAGCACTGTCACTCTTTTGTCGCATGCCGGGGTGGAGGCAGTACGTGAAATCATGATCGGCCGGTCATAAAAAACAACAGTCTTTGATGAGTTACAGGTCGTAGGTTGATCAGGAAAGGATCTATTCTTCGATTCTGCAGGGTTCAGGTTCAACAGTCAGTCAAGTATTGCCCACTGTCACTTCAAATTTCAACCTTTCGCAAAATGTAAACACTGGCTCGTCCGCCATTTCAAACTGTTGCGTAACTGTCTACTTCCAAGAAAATAAGTAGGTCAGACGATTCCATTATAGTGTGGCCAGGGGGGTACAGTTTCACGGCACACAAAACAATAGGCTGGTTTTAGTCGTGTGGAGTTGGGATGAAAAACACACGACAAGATCTCGGGTATT